AAAGGCTTACAGGACCTGTTTCCTTGCACTTTCTCTCCCATACGTGTACAGATTATACCCGCGTGCTTGACTAGTCTAAGCCAGGATAAGAGCGCTTGAGCCAATGATTCCTCAACACAGCCTTCCGTCTCATCATACTGGTGCGCCTCTACCTCTAGTACCGCACATAGGTAGGTGAGAAGCGGGGGTTAGTGGTACTCTTGATATCTGGTTGCTGAATGCATTGTATGGCTCGAGAGACGACAGTTCGGTGTCCTGACGCATGAGTAAGTTGCAAATCGTTTCGCTCCAGTAATCCGAATCTGACTGAAGCAAATACCCAGAATATGACAGCCGAAAGTTGCGGGCCGCTAGATGAAGGACCAAACGACGCTTGCAAGCGTTGAATTCTTTGGAGTCTAGACTGGCCCTTGGTGATCCTGTATGGGTATTTGGGCGTGCTTCGGGTAAAAACCGAGTGACTTCTCCAACTCTTAAATGCAGTCCTTGCTGCAATAGGGACACAGCTCGAGCTATGTCAAGTCTTTCGGCAAGTGAAAGCCCCGGGAGGAAATGTTCCAAGAAAGGCTTCGCGTTGTAGGATGCTTTGTATTTAAGAAATGTCAAAATAAGCAGATCAGCTATGTCATATCGTGAACTATCCGGTGGCATGTAGTGAGTCGATATACGAAAGGTGTCCAAACGTCGTTGCTGTTGATAATCGATCATCCGTTTATGTTCGAAATCCAATTCGTCGGACTTCATCAGCATGAAAAGCCCTGGATCACATTGTGAGAAGGTGCAGCACTAGAAAGTTGTGTTTTCGACCAGGGATGTGGCTTACTGGGTAAATTGAAGGGATAGTTCCGTCATGAAATACTTACTTCCCGGATACACGAGATCCAAAACGTGCTCCGCCAAATATTGGACCAGGTCGGAAGTTAACTCTGATCCAAGTTCGAGCAGCTCTCGTAGAATTTTGGGGAACCGGGAAACGGTGGCGAGCTTTTGTCATGCCTGGTTAGCGACGGGGATGGACAAGGATCGGAGAGTGAAGTTCAGAATCTCGTTCTCGCTCCAGACTACTTACCGCTACCAGTGAAAGGCCTATCTTGTCTTGAGACCATATAGACAATTTGTGAGTGTGAAGCGAACGTTTCAAGGCCGAGAAGTCGTCCGCGACCAGGGCCACACGTAGTTCGTCACCGAGAATAGACCAGTCGGGAATCAGGCAGTATGTGCGGAAGTTGGATTGCCAGCCCTGAATACTGAATTCAGCCATAGCCACATAAACAGAACCAATCAGCCAACTTGGGGGGCGAATGACAAGTCGATACTGTCC